CAGTCAATCCGTTCAACAACCAACTGATGCCACAATCACAGCTATTAGACCATCTCGAATTGCTCTCCCTCCACAGCACCGGCGGCTACATCCTCGACTGGCACGCATGCGACCTTTTCCCCGAGCGCTGGATCGACCTCGTCATTGTACTGCGCTGCGATTCCACACTTCTCTACGACCGCCTCACAGCAAGGGGCTACAAGGGCAAGAAGCTAGAGGAGAATATGGATAGTGAGATTATGCAAGTGTTGCTTGATGAGGCGCGGGAGAGCTATAAGGAGGAGATTGTTGTGGAGCTGAAGAGTGATAATACCGAGGATGTAGAAGGGAATCTGGAGAGGGTAGAGATGTGGGTTGAGCAGTGGAGAAGGGATAGGAGGGAACGGGGAGATGGGGAGTAATGGAAGACTGTGGTTATTTGTTGAAGATGAACATGAGCACGGAGATTCTTGGTGCATAGAGGTGAGTAACTCATTGTCTCTACATCTCTATATTCGGAGAAGTATTCTAGGACTCGACTTTCTGAGCCAGCCATTCTTTCAGCTTATCCAGCGCCTTGCCACGATGGCTTATCTTGTTCTTTTCGCTCTTCTCCATTTCAGCGTACGTCTGGCCTTGGTACTCGAAGCATGAGTCCCAGCCTGGCATTTCATCAGCTCACACTTCCACCCCCAAAACAAACAAACAAAAGACATGTACTTACCAAACACAGTTGACCCCCGACTCTCCACCAACTTGCCGTCGGTCCGTCCTTGAAATAGCACCGGCTCGTGGCCTGGGCCTTCACAGTATCCGAAAGTACATACTGCTTGAGCGGACTTGTCGTCGAAGCCCGAGAGCATCTTGTGCAGGTTGAGGGGTCCGAGGGAAAGCATGAACCATTTGCTGTCAGGCATATCAGCTGGCTGTACAGTGAAAAGGGCGAGAGAGAGAGAGAGAGAGAGAGAGCAGGGTGTTATGTGTTTGCGGCATATAGGGAAAGGAGACCTACATATACGGTCCAGGAAGATCATTCATAGCGTTGAAGCAGAGACATGTATCTTCTACGAGTACGGGACCTTGTACCTTCAATAGTACAGTTAGCGTCCGATCCACACCACTTCCGTATTCTCACGTTATATATATATTTGGCGGGTTTTTAATATCTGGACTTACCGCTTCGGCGGCTCTTCGCGCCTTGTCTTTGGTGACTTCTTCGATGGTGCCTTGGATTTCGATGAGATCGACGTTTTGGTTTCGTAGCTCGATGACGCCGGAAAGGAGGGCTTGGACTTCGGCTAGTTTGTTTTTGTTGCCGGTTATGAAGTTTAGGTGGGCGGGGACGCTGGGGGATGCCATGGTAGGTTGATGCAGGTTTTTGGATAACTGGAGGGTGGTGTGCTTGCGTGCTGAAGATGTACGTTGGGCTGTGAGTTTGTCAAGACAAGCACCCATGAGATCATTCTGTTGTTTGGTTTGTACATACCCAAGGATGGAACCTGGGTCTATGAGCCTTCTGTTTGCTAATGAAAGATTTGATAAGCAAAATGTGCCAATGACTCCTACACCAGAATTGGGGGCCTTGCCTTGGCAACAGGTGTAGTTCTTCCTAGAGAGTAGGTAACGCCTTATGGGGCTGAGGTTACATACAACTTTAAGGCTGGTATCTAACCACTTGGCGATCCGCGCGATGCATGAACTGCAGAGTACTCCTCGTAACCTCACGATAGGGCTGAGAAGCCTATGTTTAGTCTCCTCGCGTAAGCGAGCTGAGCAAGGATGCAGCCTGTAGCGCGCCTCGAATGTCACAGTGGCCTACTCCGTACAAAAGGTCGGTTCAGCCGCAACCATCACACCTTACCAGAACCGATGATAACGGTCCTCGCCGTCTAAACCTGCTCGTTTTGGTAAAACCGAAGGATTCACATCGCCGACGGAGAGCCTCATGGCTTGAGGCTGACGACATCATTCGACACCACTGACTCCACACCGCCGACGAACATTCTCGAAGCTGTAGTTCAGAGCAGCACGGACTGGGGATTTCCCTTTGCTCCAAGTCGGTAGCATCGGGGTGCACGACGCGGGTCTGCCATTGTATCATCGCCAACATGGGTTCTCTCAGGACGTTGTTCCTGGCGGTGTATGCTTCCAACAGCATAATAAGGGCTCTGTTTCTTCCACTATGCTACCTCACGCTCTCCAGTCCGTTTGCGCTTGCTATAACTTGGTACTTTGGCTTCGGGTCGACTATCCAGAAATTCATACCGGTCAACTTCTCCTGGTTCGATCTACTACCCCAATTCGCACTTTCAGCCGTATTCTTGCTATTACCTACGAGGCTACTTTCCGGCTCAAGCAAACCGATAAAGAGTCAAGATGGGAAGAGACGGGTACAATCGTTGCCATACTGGATCCCGGGTGCACGCCACCTTGGGAGCATCATCTTTGGTGGAGAGGAGTGGTTGAACGGAGTCCGGTCCGTCTAAACATCTAGCTGATAGGATATTGATCTAACAAACAACAGCGAATCATCGATAACGGGCATAATTGCATACAATGCCGCAGGAAGCAAACACAACATCCTGCTATCTGATTCGCTACTACGCCAACTATACGAGAACTGGCATAGCCTGGAGGTGCCAGACAGCAATAGAATCGCCCTTCTCCGGAACGCATTCAACTTGCCAAAAGCAATGGAAAGTCGGTATCAGGAACACCATCAAGAAATTAGCAAAGTCACGGAAACAGAGATCTACGCAGGCGCAACCAAGAACAACCTCATCACAGCATCGCTGCGTATCTTGTCTGAATCACTCCCGGACTTTGTCACCTTCAACTCCTCCATCGTCGATCAGATGCAATGGGAACGCGTATCCAACGTTGAGCTCATCAATGGCACGTCAGAAGCAGAGTGTGATCTTTTCACTCTGCTCAACGAGTTCTGCTGTAACGCCATCCTGCCTCCAATTGTGGGAGCACAATTCGCCGAATCTTACCAACTGCTGGCTACGGACCTGGCTACCTTCAATCAACGGTTTTGGCCGATTGCTCTTGGGCTACCGCGGCTATCACCCATCCAAGGTCTACCGGGAGCCGCTCTGGCCCAAAAGAGATTGCTGCAAAATTTCAAGAGGCTGTTTGGGGAGCTTTCGAACCCGCCAGTGAGGAGAGTGCCGGCCGATGATGAGAGCGTGAGCGGCGAAGAGGATACGGATGCTGATATGGCCACACCACTCTCGAAACTCAACGAACTCTTCACCACGCACGAACTTCCTATGGGAGTACGTGCTTCAATTGCATTGCACCTGGTACACGGCATATACTCAGAAGTTGTTCCGCTCGTTTTCTGGACAGTTCTGCATCTTTACTCATCATCCAGCCCGAAGGACGCGCAGAACCTAGCGGAGTCGCCTGTACAGAGGATCAAAGCAGAGACGAAGAATTGGGCGCAAGCCATTCAACCGCCGTCGATACATCCTTCATTCCCAGCGCCACCTGAGATACGTTTCGGATCAGCGACTGAGGCTCTCACATCAACAGCTTTCCCATACCTACGATCCTGTATCAACGAGTCTCGACGTCTTCATAAATGTTCTGTTAGCACATACAAAGTGAAGCAGCCTCTGACCCTAAAAGAGGACGGCCTCGCACGTCCCGGCGAACAAGAGCAATGGGAGCTAGACGTAGGCTCATACATCGACATCGGCCTGTCCGAATCCCTTATAAGCTCTTCAGGAGCCATTCATTCCTCGCCTACCACATTCAAGCCCGACCGCTTCATCCACACACCAGTACTTTCCTCCATCCTCTCTCCCACTGACCAAACCGAGCCCTACAAAACCGCGCTGCTCATCGCTCTAGTCGCAGGCATCACTCAGCTCTGGGACATAGCACCCGCGCCCAAGAAGAGCTTCCTCGACCACATCCAAGAAGCGGGCAATGAAGCAGCAATAGGTACAGCGGCCTTGAGCGGAGAACAGAAAGCCGCGAGAGACGAGGCGAATAGGGAGAAGGAGGATGGGAAGAGGAAGGATGCGAAATGGGTTGTTCCCAAAGCGGTGGATGGCGCGGATGTCAGGGTTCCGAGGGGGGATGTGAGGGTTAGGGTGAGGAGGAGGGAGGGGTTGCCGGCGGGTAGGGTTACGGGTAGGATTGGGTAGGGGCTTATGGGATGATGATAGATATCACTGGTTAAGGAAATAGTTATGAATAATAGAAGGTTTGAAATATAGAATATTATTATAATGGAGTCGCGTCGAGCCCCGTATGCATACACTTCCAACCCCTTTTCCCACCCACCTACCCCCAACCAAAAAAAACCAAAAAAGAGCCCCCTTCCCCCCCATCCCAAATAACCAACCCATAAGCAACCATCCAATTACCTACCTCCCCCCCATCGCACCAACCCAACGTCACCACCACCATTATCCCCCGACCCCCGCCCTTTCCCTCGCCAAAATAGCGGTGAAACCCCAAATCCAACACACATCCTCGCATGAATCAAGAAAAAAACCCGCGCACCCGCTTCCACGCGAAAAAATCCTCCCCCCTCTCCTCAATAATGCAAGCACAGTCAACGTCAGTACGTTCCTTTACCTATCCCGACCTTGGGGACCGGTGTTGGTTTTTAGCGAAGGAAGGCGGGGCCGGGTAGGTAGTTGAGTATAGGTAGGTAGAGAATCGTAGCGCACACTAGGTAGGTACTGTGTATCACACCGCTTGCTTGCTCGCGTCGAAGAGATAGTAGATGGAAAAGATAGGTAAAGCGGGTATCGCACGAACAGCATGACGAGAAAGCGAGAAAGCGGAGAGAAAAAAAAAGAAGGCTAGACAGGGTCATGTTTGTGTTTTTAGAGTTGTGAACGAAAATGGAATAGGTAAAATTTGTTAGTTAGGTGGCCTTGTTCGCTTGTGTATTGCACATATGGGGACGCAGTACGAATTCTGCAGAGCTGTTCCCCTAATTGTTTTAAAATATTTATTGATATTTTGTAAAATAATTCTCATACACAACATCCACAGCCTTCTTAGCTCAGTGGTAGAGCGCGTCACTAGTAATGACGAGGCCGCCAGTTCAATTCTGGTAGGAGGCAACAAACAACACCATTTTTTTTTCGACCTACTGTCACTGCCATGTCGCATCGCACTAAGAGAGAAATATGTATTTTTCGATAGTATAACTATGTCATGGGGGGTTTTTTTTTTTGCCCTGTTGCAGCGTTGGTTGGCCTGGTGCACAGTCTTGAACCGAACGAAAGCGCCGTTCTGGCGCTGAGAGCATTATTACGACTGCGACAGTCTTTTCTGACTTCCTCTACTGTCGCACTATGAGCGGAATTTATGTATCTGCATGATTCCGAGGTTTAGGTAGTAAATGGTTCTTGCACATTGTTGTGCCTATTTGTTCTTTCCTGCTCTCGTGCAATGCTGCACCAGCTAAACGCTTTCTCTTTGGGGACGTGTATCCATGACCAGCAACTGTCTCTAGCTGATTGTAAGACAATACATGGTTCTCATACGGGATTGAGCGATATACAAGTAGACATTAGGTCGCTCTTGCGCATAGAGTCTACATCCAATATATGAGTTACATAGACGCTCGGGACCGGAGCATAGTTGGTACACCTTACTAGTAGACCAAGGATCGGACTAGTGAACAACACGCAGCAGTGACTGAGGGAATGGAACTCGTCAATGTCATTTCCGTGATATTTTCCCGTACGACCTGGCGAACACCAGATGCAGATCGTATGCCATGCACGCCATCACCACTGCGGAATCGCATCAAGGGTCATGTTTATCTTCCATTTGTAAACACAAACACCTTTTGGAATGCCGATATCATGCCGCAGAACCTTGAAAAGACCCAGAACCCCTTGCCATCCACTCATGACCTTAGACCTCAGTGAGAACGGTCTCCTTGAACTCACGCTCGACCTTCTGACCAGAGTCGTCCTGGTTGGATTCGCCGTGGAGACCGAGGAGAGCGCCAAGGTCGAACTTGGGTGCCTTGAGAAGCTTGACCTTTCGTACGTGGACCTACGTCGCGTTAGCCTTTGTCAATCCTAGCGCCGTTCTACACAACCACATACGTTTTGGAGAGGGTAGATGCCCTGGGTAGCCTTCTCAATCTCGCGGCCAATGACCTCGGGAATCAGCTTCTGGGTGAGCTGGGCGAGGGAGCACGAGCTAGCATCGCGGGCCATGATCTCAACCATCTTCTTGCGGATCGCCCTGATCTGCGACGATTGGGCGTATGTGGTCTTCTTGATCTGATTTGGTCGTCGCTTCGTGAAGGCGATGCAGAACAGGCGGAGGAGGTAGTCGTCGGTGGTCTTGACAACGACGTTGGCCTCGATGAGGGTTTGCCACTTGCGGACGAGGGAGCGGAGCTTGTCGGATGTGAAGTCGAGGCCGTGGAAGTTGGTCAGGCAGTTCTTGCCCTGGACCTCGTCGACACGGAGCTTGACCTTGCGGAAAGCGTGGTCCTCATCCTTCTGGAGATCGGCGAGCGAGACCTCGAATATCCGACCCTTCAGGGCATCGTTCGCGTTCTTCAGACCGGTGGTACGGTTGACGAGGGTCTTGCCGACACTGCGAGAGGAAGAGAGAGTAAGTATGGACCCATCGAGAAGCCGTGTGCACGGCGGCGGGATATTCTTACTCTCGGACCGCGAAAGTTCCTGGAGCCTTGACGTTGTACCAGTCCTTCTTCGCGAAGGTGTCGGTCTTCTTCTTGAGACCCTTCTTTCCCTTTGAAAGACGCTTGTTCTTGCCGACAGCCATGATTGCGATATGGTTGTTGGGCGTCGAGGTTGGTGTTGTCGTCGTCGATGTCCAAAATCGATAATCAAAGTGTGCAGATTTTAGCGAGATCCAAGGCCTAGTGGCACGTCACGTGCGCCAAGCCCTAAAATCGAGCGCGATCATCAGTCGCACCATCACCCTCCGAACACCCACGAGGGATGCAAAAAATAATACGTATCAAACCAGGTCGGCCTCTTAAGCCAATCACTGTTAATTTTGCGCTGTTACTCTCGATGTGGTCTAGAAGCACACGCCCTCTCGAACCATCGTCACATGGCGATCTGTTGCAGTGTGGAAAATGCAAAATGAAAAGAAAGTATTGTGTATTGTCTGATTGTGTTCTGTTCTGCTCGTGCGGACCTCCCAGAAGGCCAGCAGCAGGGTCTGTTTACATGACGTATTTAAGATACAGCTGAGGTAAGAGGTACTCGATAAGTGAGGAAGTAGCACCAGAACACCTACACGTGATCTGCTTCCCATAACCGTAACACGATCAGACTCACACCATCGACGTCACTGCCACGATCGAAAAGTCACGGCTCAATCATTGCATTCATATAAAATGAGGTGCTCTTGCACTGTTTCAGCTATAGCTAGCATCTTCCTTCGCCCGCGGTGCTCTAGCGACGACATATAGACTTGACAACCCTTCGTACCACGCCTCGCGCCACTATGCAGAAACCAACACGATCCTTCGATCTTGGCACACCTTTTCCGAACCTCCTCGCCGCCTCGACTGAATGCGCCGTGGTGATATGACCACAGCCGCAGCTGAGTGGCTGAGCCTCGCATCACGAGACCCGTCAGCGGATGTTGCCCCCACGTAACTTTCTTCTTCCACGCCGCAACCAGACACGTCATTAACGTGACGTAGCTTTGACTGCTTGTAGTTCCACTCGGGTTTGATTTGGATGAGTGCGGAAATAGCATAGCAACTCCCACGCGGGATATCGCAGTGACGGTCAGACAGATTCGGCACTGGTGCTCCATACCGTGTCTGGCACAGGTGATCGTGATAGTCTCTTCCAGATAAAGGTAGGCATGGTTGGTCATGGCGTGACAGGATTCAAAAGTCAGGTGTTGCATGTCGAAGCTCTTTCTTTCTTGCATCCTTGACTCTTTCAGCACGTCCACTCAAGTCTTAACGGTAGAGTGTTGGCGATGTTGGTCATAAGGGTTCTGACTTTCACAAAACTTCTCAAAGTCTGGGAAGCTGATGTAGCCATCTGAGGAATGTCAGTTCATGCTACTTCACTTAGACGCGAAGGAGTATGCTTACCCTGCTGCCTGTACTGTCGAACGTAACGTTCACTCTCGGTCCTCGACATGGTAGGCCTCTCGGGAACATGAGCTGACGCTGAGTGAGTCCTGGTTACAGGCGATAGCATGGGGCTTCCAGGCGGAGTCTCGCCTCGGGGCGTGGTCGGTGACGAGGCAACCTTTGCTAGGAGGATGGAAGCCTTGGTCGGGCTGTTCGACGTTGCAGAGTCTCGTCGAGATGCTACGGGTACGAGTGTCGTGAGACATGGCGAGGAAACGGTTGAAGGTGTCAGAGGTGGTCGCCGGCTGCCTGATCTGGATCGTTCGGGCGCCTCGGTAGGTAGCGAATAGTAGTATCGAGGGTTGCTAGACATGGTGAAGATGGTGTCGATCAACAATCGAATGTCCAAGTCGGAGAATTGAATATAGATACGGGAATGTGAAATGACGGAGTGTGCGAGACCGGATAGTAATAATCGTGTTGAAATCGCCCAGACGCCATTCACCCCATACTACCGAATGTATAGTGACGCCTCTGCGAGTTCCAGGCACCCTGGTCCACGCACGCCAGCTGCATCAGCAGCCGGACCTCCCCACTCGACGTCGTTGGCATTTTAGACTAGCATGCAGGCCGAAGTGGGTACCGCCAGAAAACGTGGACGTTTGGAATTAGTCTGTTGCAACTTGCAAGGGAGGTGTGCTGTCAGCCTTTCACTCGTTCTGACTCGCTCTCAGCGCACACAAGACCACTCCACCTCCACTTCTCCAGACTGCCGCTTGTTGCTGCAGGTATGAGGTGGCCACTGCAGACGAGGCGGATGACAACCCTCGATACTCTGTATGTTGATGTAGTCAATAGTGGCACCTGGCACGCTGGTTTGCCTCAAAGGGCTGCTTTGCCCCGAGAGTGCGCTTACGGTGGCAGGTTATTCGCGTCGCCTGTTCCTGATTGGCATTGCGCGTTCGATCCAAGGCTTTGCCGGAAGAGCGGGTGTGCAGCCAGAGCGGCGCCGTCGCATCCTCAAACTCGCGCATCGCCAGATGCAAGCCGCATTATTCACAGGGAATATCCGTCATGAATGCGCGATGATGACAAGACCTGCCCTGTTTCAAGGCCTGGAAACTGGGCGAGGCTCTCTTACGGTGTGGACTCAGGAACGAGCGAGCGGCTCCTTTCTGACCCGCAGCCTACCTAATATCGTTATCGATTTCAGCCCGCCGGATGGTTTGTGCGACGTTGACAGTTGTGAGACAGGTACACGGCTGCAACAGCCTCATTATTCAAGACTAGCGTTTTGTTGGTGACGACATTCGACATTGCCTCAGCTGAGAATGCTATGCCTGCCGTGTCATGCCCTGCAGCTTACACCCCTTGCTTACACCCCTTGGCACCGAAAGTCGAGAACATCCAAATCGCAAGGGTATCCTTTCACAACGCTCGTGTGAGCCGATTGGAGCATAAGTACATGCGAGGGGAAGCCAACACCAAGACATCCATTATTCACGTTCACGCTCTTTCGACACCGCATCTCGCGTGGTGCCGTGACAAACTTCCAGTCTGGCTTCGGTAGTTGGCACGGCGATTGAGGGGAAGCCACGTACCTGGCTTTCTATCGCTTACAAGTATCAGCAGCCCCTCATTATTGCTGGCTTCCGCAACTTCGCAGCCGGGCGAATACCATGAGACGTCTCCCCGTTCGGCAATGCTACGAGTTTGGTTCCAGAACCACCAATGTCACCTCGTTTCCCCACTCCAGCGTCAGCTGTTGCGAGGTCTTCGAGTGGAGCGGGCACCACTCCGATTTGACAGTCTTTGACCAAAGGAAGCAACTCCCCACCTAGCATTCGTACTCAACAAACATCCTTATCAAATAACACCCCATCATGATAACTCCACCACGCTGCACTGTACAGAGCAGCTGCTTACTGAGACGATGTTTTGCAGGCCTGGAAGTCGATTCGTCCCTTTCAAGAGACAGGTGCAAGAGCGAAAATCGACCAGTGCATCTAGCATCTAGCCTCATGC